AAAAAGGCCGTTTGTTTTGGCCCTTCTTTGTTCCCTGTATGCATAATATCCTGAACATGTTCAATATGTTCTCCGTTTCCTGCCAGATGTGGTGGAGGTGTTGCTAAACCAGCCCAGTGTGGAGCTCAACCAGCAGGTGAGGTGGTTTTAAAAGCTCATTCGCAGCTTCACTCAAAGCTTGTTTGAAAATGTTTCCTGTTTTCAAATCTTCAGAGTGTAAAACTATAAGCAACTGTATTGGGTGTTAAATCAATAACTTCTACTAGAAAAGCACCAATAAATATGAGAAGTTTGATTTTTCTCCATCATTTATCAAATTAATTAAAAACTAAGATTCTGCATCTTTTGTGTATTGATGTTGCATGCATACATTTTTAAAAATATAACCTTTAATGTGCTTAAATGGGATGCAATGCCTTCCCTTTCATTTTATCTTATGCTTACTCTGACAGACTTTAAAGAAAACGAGAAAATATGTCTTGGAAATCAAATCAGTTTATTTATATCAAACCATTTATATCAAAATAACCAAATGAAATGTTGTCAAAAAAAGTGAGTATATTTAATACATACTGAGAATCAAATTCCTACCAATGACAGAAATCATAATGGAAAAACATAGATGAAAATATTAAAGTAAAGATGAATTTGGAAAATAGAGACTTAATTAAAAAGTTAATGCAAATAAAGTTGGCAATGGTCAACTTGTCTTTTCAAAATGTAACTTAATTTCTACTCAAGGATAAATTTGTAACCATGTTGGAAAATTTTTTTTCCCCCAAAATAAACCATTCTATGATAAAGTCAACAAAAACCAGACTAAACATAAGATGAGTAAACATGACTAAAATGTGACTGAAACTAAATAAATAAATTCTGTCAATGTTAACACTGAGCTTGTAATTCAATCTTCTATGAAGCTACATTCCTGACTTGAATAAACATGATTGAAACAACTTTTTAAAATTAATTTGCCGCTAACTTTCAAGATTAAACATGTCCTTAGTGTCACTGGTTGGGCGAATGGGTGTTAAATAGTTGTTTAATGATCTTGTCTTTATATTTTAGAATAAACTGGGTGACACACCGCTGCATGCTGCTGCCTGGAAGGGTTATTCTGACATCGTGGAAATGCTGCTTGCTAAAAATGCGAGGATAGACATCAAAAACAACGAGTGTAAACTGGCTGTTGAAATGGCCACCAACGCCCAGTGTGCTTCACTCATCAAAAGGAAGCAGGGAACCAGTAAGTTCTTACTTGCGTACAGAACAACATGGACAGGGAACCAGGCCACTGTAGAACCGCAGGAGAAACTGCTGCAGCTAACGCCACAGAAAACGGGTTTCCTAAAACATAAAGTTGATCTGAGATGTCGCAGTGATTCAGAACAAGAAGCCGCTCTTTAAGCTGTGGGAAGAGATGAAGTTGTTTGCAGTATTGAAAAACCTGTAGTCGAGCAGCTCCGAGTACAGCCAAAGAAAAGTTCTAAAATAACATTTGCATTTCTTACAGTGGCCGTCAGGTGTGAACGGCCAAACACATGAATGAAAACTCCAAAACGCACAAAAAACAAATGCAAAAGAAAAATTCTGCAACCACAGGAAATGGATGCAAATGGGAAATGCCGCAAATAGCAAAAACGGCAAATATGAAATGCTGCATAGAATGGAAGTACTCCAGACCACTAGGGGGAGTCTGGAGTAGGTAATATGCTGCTATTTTATAATATTGTAAATGACTTTGTTTAAAAATGGCACACCTTTTATTTCCTCAAACTATTTTCTGGGCATCCTGTCTTTACTGAGATTCTGAGCACCTGTGATTTGATAATCGACTCCTCCTAGTGGTCAGGAGGCCTTCCGTTCTGTGGTCTGAATTTTCAGTTTTTTATTCTTGCAGCATTTTTCTTTTTGTTTGTTTGCTATACATTTGTGTCACCTTTGTGTTGGATTTTGAGCCAGTGTGTTTGCAGTGCATCTTGCCACAGTAATTTTCAGACTTTCTCTCTTTTATTTAAAAGACACATTTTGTCAAACATAACAGACCAGAAGAAGTTGAGTATTTCCCCATGAGTTCCAGCTTTTTAATCCATCTTCCACCCTGAGATTAACACCTCAGCAGAACTGCCGACTCATCGCCTCCACTCAACTTTGCATTGATACAGAAATCAGACCAATTATTCACTGCATATGCGGCACATTGACAGATTAATTCTTTTGTATTGCCGTTACTATTTATTCATTTGCAGTCTACATTTTGGAGGATTTTCTTTATTTGTAAGGTCTGATAAATTTATCACTGTTTACAAAAAATATATATGACACAGTTTTGACTTTTTGGACTGAATGAATAGAATAAGTGAACTATTCTACATTTATAGGTTTGTTTCTTTTGTTACAGCCGTCATCCGGACACATAGCAATGCTGAGGAGTATTTGGATGACGAGGACTCGGACTGAGCCGGCTCCAGCTCGGTCAGACCGTCTTTGCCGTCTTACATTGTTGGTTCTCTGGAGGTCGTAGAGTTTGTTTTTTTTTTTTTGTTTTCTGCGAGTCTAAAATGGGATTATCTTCAACTGAAACTCCATTTTAGCTGAAATATCTTGTTCAAACACTTCAGTTTTATGCCCTCTGCATATTGTGTGAGTTTCAAAGCACTGCGTCAATCCCACCGACTGTCTGCTTTGCCGAGTTCATTTCCTCGTGGAGGGAGCGTATTTTGGAGCGTCAGAGGCAGACTCTGTGGGCTGAGGTGCAAAATGTACGTAGTGGGAGAGATGTGACCAAAGCTCTTCAGAGACACGCCTTAAAGCATGCAAATTATGTATTTATAATGGAGATTAAAGTGCCAGTGCAGATTCAGAGATTTATGACTTCTGTTTTGTTTCCAAGCTTTCCTGTCATTCCTGAACTCCTCAGTAGACCAAAGTGAATGAAACTGTTGCATCTTCCTGCTTCAAGGCAACTTAGACGTTTGCTGAAGCGAAGAAGTCTTCCTTTAACTTTTAGGATTAATTGGGTGAGTCTGAACCATTCTTGTTTGGTAATAATCAGCTTGTTACTCGTGGTTTTTTTCTCTTATTTCCACTGGGAGCAGAGTCCTACTCTCAGTTCACTATAACTGAATAACATTCAGTTAAAGCATCTGTCCTGGAGTTTGATGTTCGATTTGCAGCCTGGGAGAAAATGTCCAATTTATTGCTGCTTTTCTATCTGTATTTAACAAAGTGCCTTAAATCTATGCAACAGAATATTTGTTTCTTTGGTTGAGTGTAATGTTGCTTGTTTCGCAATTATGTCTTAAAACTGCAATAAAAATGTTAACATCCAGTCTCACTGAAATTCTCTGAAGCATTTTGCAACAAATTCAATACGGTGTGCAATTAGCTTAAAACTTTTTTTTACTTATTTTTGTAGTAGAATTAAATTTATTGGGGGGGAAAAAGAAAAACGGGAGTTCAGTTTCAAGACATTGTTTATTTAAAAAGTCAGCATTTTGACATTCCCAGAAGGCAGAAAGGGCAAACTTATGTAAAGACAGAAAATACAGCAAGTCGATGAAAGATTCATGCTACATAACAGCCACACGGGAGGGGAGAAAAGCAAGCTGAAGCAGAGAAATGTTCTGAAATGAATGTCCTTTCTCCAGTTTTACATTTAACCACACCGCTATTGTATTAGCAGAAATCAAATCTTCCTCTTCACAGAACAAAATACCCAACATTAACAAAAATAAAAACATTTCTTTCTTGCTGGTATGAAGTAGGAGAGCAGCATGTTGATGACTTCTAGTAGGAAGGATGGCTACAATTTAATCAAAACTTCAACTAAAGAACATTTGACAAATGTCTGCAGCAGGAGCAATCCTATTATTAACACTGAGCAAACAGCAGGGTACATAGTTTCATATAACTGCATGTCTCCATTGTGGTTTTCAACTGAAACAGTAGTACTCACACCTTTACTCCAAAAACATACTGTCCTGCTGCACCGATGTTAGGTCCTGTGTAACATATGTAATCTAAAAATGAGCAGATTGTGATGAAACCCAGGTTTTAAATTAGCAAAAATAAAGTTGATACATTAAGATTGACTTGCTTGCACAAGTGACTTTCTTTCAATAAAGATAAAATAATTTGCAATAATGTTGGTGGCATCTGTTTCCGATACTGTTAGAAATACCATCTCTATAGTTTATGCTAAGCTAACAAACTGCCAGATGAAGTTAATCATTACAATATGGTTTAGCATGAAGTAACCCTTTTTTTGTAAGTGTCAAGAAATTTTAATATTTCTAAAGTTTTTTTAATCTACAGGAAATGATTAGGGCACCTGAAAAAAATTAATTTCTCAAAATCCTGAGTAAAATAAAGTCAGAATTCAGAGTATTATACTACATTTTTGTTTTTGCACTCCCAGACAATGTTCGGAGGGGTAGGCAGGTCAGGCAAGTTAAAATCACACACTAATTTTTGTATTATGTTTCTTGCTAAAACGTTTTATTTTTAGATTTTTTTTAAGCAAATGTCCATGTCCTGGACAACTCACATCTCCATCACTGGAGCTGGTTGCTCCCAGTTATCCATCTGCATTAAAGTGAGAATTGTGAATTTATTTTCAGTGGCTCTGTCTTCTGTAAATATGACTTCTGTGAATTAGCATGCTGCTAATTTATTATAGTCTTGTCATTAGTTCTGTGAAATAATTTGATAAAGGTGAATTTATTGGAACAAACTATTTCTTTCAACAAGGCACTGAATACATTTAAATAATCTGCAATATAATTAGGAGGCATTTTTTAAACAAGCTTGTCTTTGAGCTTTTTAAGAGATTCTGTCTAAAATAACTTACTATTTTAGTCAAATTTAAGCAAAAGCTCATCTGTAATTAACCAAAATACAACAAAAGACTTTCTTTGTGCCACATAGCACAACATCCTTGAACTATAACAAATCTTATTTTTTTTCCTCAGAAATAATATCAGATATGACTGCAGCACAAAAGTATAAGGATTTAATTCAGCCCAGTCAATAACATGTTTATTAGAACTTAAAAGGTGAAAATAACAGAAAAGAAAGGTTACACAAAGATAAATGAAATGAAGCGCAGAGGGAGAGTAATACTGACAGATCTCATTGTGAACATCCAGGTGATCCAAACACAGAACAAACGATTGCCTTATTGCACATGGTCTAAAGCGTCAAGTTCTGAAACCAAAACCCAGACTTCCCTACTGTGTTTCAAGAAATTATTTTCTTCAAGTGACAACCGCTTTTGCAGGGAACGAAAGTCGAGACACGAACCGCGCGGATATGAGTTCCAGCAGATGCCGATTTGCATCCAAGCAGTTTGAGTTGTTCAGTTTCACAGATCAAAAATGAAGAAAAAGAAATGCATTGAGGACATTTCAGACTCAAGCATAAAATCTAGCAATGGAGTTCAGAAAGTGTATGCACTTTTGTTAAAAAAATAAAAATAAAAATTGTCATGAAAAGATGAGACCATGATAGATTTTAATATACATTCCACCTTTAGTGTGAGAATAATCTTGTACAATTGAACTTGAAAACAAATCTGCTGGACAGAAACATGGGGAAAATTTTAAAAACCTTAAAGTTACAATAACTGGGGTTGCATAAGTGTGCACTACCTTAACACGGCTGTATTATTAATTTTCCAGGCACATAGGTCCATTTTATAGCACAATCAAGTAACTATGTTACCTTCAGTAGTATAAATAAAAAAATAACTGACTTTGCAATTTGACACCTTGAAATTGGGCCTCTGTCTCTTTAAGAAGCGCCTGTTTTTTCTGACGTTCCTCCGTTATGCCGTTTACAGGGGTTCACAGGAATGTTCGACTGAGATGTAGTTTGAATGATAAGCTCAGCAGACTCACAGTCCCACAAGGTGTTTGCTAAATGCTGCTGCCACTAGTCTGGAGGAACTGAGCGGCGAAGTTAGCTGACATTTTCTTTCTTTTCCAAAGACATTGATTGCGGGATGTAAGACGATGATCACAATTAGTTATCTGTGCAAAAGTATCAGTCAGAGATGAAAAAACATGCGGGAGTTTTAGGATTTTCTGATTCAACAATTTCTTGTATCCATTTAATCTCCAAGAAGGAGAGTCGCAGATACTTTTTTTTCTTCTGGAGAAATTGTGAAGGTGTTGCTAAAATTTTGATTGTCAAACTTGTTCAAACCTTCCAGCTGACACGAGACACTACAGTTGAACATGTGGGCTTGTTTTTCTTTAGCTGGATCTCGGATAGTTGTCTTATTTGAGCAGGAGTCCAGAATCTGCCGACTTTCCTGCAGATCGGTGTCTTGACAAAAATGCTTTGATAACTTTTTCTAAATTATTAACAAATGAAACATACACGTCATCGTTGCTTTGTTATTACTCGTTTGTTTTTAAGCAGCTAACTTGTCCACGTTAAACATAAGGTTAAAGGTCGTCTTGGTCTCATTTTCTACATCACAGAAGCCGGCGTTTTAACAGGAAGTGAATAACTTTCAGATCCACTGCAGGTGAAATCATTTCTCTTCAGAAGCGTCGAGTATTCAGTGGTGTTTTCCAAAAGGCTGAGGCAACTTTAAGGTTTGAATTTTTTTTAAAAAAGGCTCTGAATGGTCAGTTGTAAAAATCACTTTCTTATCCCATGAAGGCAGAGCTCAACATGTCCGAGTTTCTCACTTTTGTGTGATGCAACACATGAGCATTTCTGTTAGCAGAGTTACTGATTTACAACAAAAGGCAAACCTTTGGTCTCATGTGGCTTAGATTTCATCAACAAACAAACAAAAAACTATTTGCGACTAATTGCAATATAAGGAAGTTTTTCTTAAACTCTCATTTTAGTCGGCTGATGTTTTAAATGAGTTGAAGGCGCAGGTTTCTGCACTGACACTTTCGTTTGTTTCAATTCCTCATTTCTGCATGTCCAACATATTAAAAATGTCCAAAAGGTTTGATAAAAAAAAACAAACAAATTAAACGACGGCTGTTATGTTTATATACCTGCAGGCAGAGTGGAAGAACAAAGGTCACGTCATGAACAGCTTCTCTAAACTTTAGCGCCACTATCGAGCTACAAGAAAGATATAAAATCTTGGAATTTTCAGTTTAAATAAATAAAACTCTTACAATGCGTATAATTAAAGCAGAGAAAGAAATAATTGGGATAAAACAAGACATCTTCGACGAGCAGCTAATAAAAATTCCCTCCCAAAAAATAATTTCTTTCACAGATTTCTTTTATCTTTTTTTTTTTTTTAGTAAAAATGAAAATATAATTTTTTTCCACATTCTTTGAAATTGTCCATTTGTTTAAAAAGAAATGATAGTACCAACAAATCCTTTGAAATATATTTACAGCTGTACAGAAGCTCTTCCAGTATAGGTCAACAATAGGTTTTTTACAAATGAAATTATGGAGGCAATAAAAACAAAAACTGCACATCATTTGACATAAAACAGTCTTTACAGATATGGATTAAAAAGAGTTTCAAAAAACAACAAAATAAAAAAAAAAGAAAGTCAGCGTTGGCTAATGAGAATCTTGAAGATTTGTCTTTTCTTCAATGGCCTGTTTCACTATTTCAGCCAACTTCAAGCGGTCAACTTTATCGGAAAAAGATCGCCCTGCAATAAAAACATGGGAGTTAAAGCCTTCATAACCACACCAATAATAGCTCAAATAGAGAAACACTTCATGGTTTTAATTGAGTAATTTGAAGTACTACAGGCAGCTCTGGTCCTTTTATTTCATCCATTTCCCTTGGGGTTCATAGCACAGAGGTAATAAGAAACATCTGATGGGGTTTGACTTGAATTAGACTTTATCACGAGTTAGTTAAAAAAAAAAAAACGTTGCCAGAAGGGTCTGAAAAGTCGCCAAGTTTAGCAACAAAGTGGATGAGTTGATATTAGAATAAAAGGATGAGTCATATCTTTATCTTTATGGGGGATTTTTCTACAGCAGTCAGGCTTTCAATCTGAAACCTGCAGAAACTTTGGCTGGATGGATGGATGGACGGACGGATGGAAGGACGGATGGATGGACGGACAATAAGAGGAAAGAATCATCTCGGGATGGATATAACCTTTAGACAATCGATTAGTCAAAGGCAGAATACATAAACATTCTTCCCAGTCTGTTTTTTTCCACACTCAACGCCATTTGATACGCTATTGGCTGATGTTTGCAAAGCAGCCAATCAAGGATCGGCAATCATTTTGCTTGGTGTCGATTGGCTGTTCGCTCAAGAGTAGAAATAAGAAGACTGTAAATCCGTGCAAATAAAATAAATCTATAAAACAAATACTTAATTATTAGATATGAGATAATAATATTCAGTTTTTCATCAACAGATTAAAGAGGACAAAGGAAATGTAGGAATAAAGTTGAATACAGACCATCCCAGCTGAGACCCTGCAGGCCGTCTCTCAGCAGCTTGCAGTCTCTGTTGAACCTCCAGGCTTCGTGCATCACCTCATTCAGCTTCTCATCCTCGTTTTCTCCTGGAACGTTTTAAATGGAGTCACATACAAACATGCCATTTTCACTCATTTTATTTGTTTCAGGATGCGGTACCATCAGCATCCTTGAAAAGTCAGACACCAAAATGCAGAGATCATAAGGAAATCTGAGTGTTTGGGTTTTTTAATGTGCAGAAACTCACCGGCCTGTGGGAGTATGCACTGTGCTATGACATCTCTCAGTTTTTCCAGCGCTACGTTTGAGTCTTCCCCTCCATTCTCTGGGTCATGGATGAAGAAACTATCTGTGGGTTTGGGGCTGAAAGATTAAGAACATAAAGGGTCAAAGAGAAAGTTTACAACATGTTCATATATTGACTGTAGATTACAAAATAAAAGTCTAAAATGAATTTTAATATTTTGAGTTAGTAGAATAGTTAGATTACATTACATATTACACTTCAGTTCTTACTAAGGGAAAAATTATAATTATTTACACAACATTTTGATGGAAGTTGAGTTGTACGTGTTAGAATAAAGGGAGCTGGTGATGTATTCCTGTCCTCAGAGGAAGACTTGATTTTAACTTGGCAGAACATTTTAAAGTCTTAGGTACAACAGAGCCAATTTCTTTTATTAATCACTTTTTAAGTGTACATTCAGATTAAATGGGACGACCAAAAGGCAAACTTTGTGCAACCATTAAAACTTCATGCAGTAAGTACAGTTAGTAATATTCTAGCGATACGATGACAGAGGGAACCCTTTTAACCGTCATGGCCGTACCCCAGCAGTTTCCGCTTCCTGAGGATTGGGTTGTTGACAGAGTTCAGAGGCTTCAGACTGACGTTCAGGTCCTGAATCCTCATGTTGGCGAGCTGCTCGGCGTGGGCCTGCTGGATTCCTGCGACCACGGCCTGCACAGAGATCAGAGCCACGATTAGAGCCGTCAGGTTTTAGTGGCAGCGCTCTCCCTTGTACCGACAGAAAGCCGTGACCGCCCGTTTCCCCAGCCATGTGTCGCTCTGCTGAAGGTGTGTTAGAGACGAAGGTCGATGAAAGAGAGTACTGTACTTTGCAAACTTTGCGCTCACCAACTCCTCTGACAGCAACAGCATCATCATCACTTAAAAGACACTGAAAAAAAACAGGTGTTACTTTAATCAGTTTACCATCACAAATTCACATTTTAGCATTTTGATTTTAAAAACACGACACTTTCTGAGTAGAGCTGATAAACTACCGAGTCTTCAGAGGAGAATTCAACATCTGCAGTACAGAAATACTTGAGGGCTGAAGACTCCAGGTTTAGATTGAAGCGTAACCGTGTGTTACAATATGCCACTCCAATTTATCATCGAAGGCAAAACCTGCAAACTGATCTTCAGACACTCCATTCAATCTGACTGGGTTTGAGCTGTTGCAAAAACCAGAGCATCATTGAAAATAAACGCATGCCACACTTTAAGGTTTTAACTGTAGGAAACCATTATATGCCATTTTGAATATTTATTAGTATATGTACAGCACTTTGCCACAGCTACTCTTGGTTTAAAGTGATTTAGAAATAAAGTAGTAAAAAAAAAAATCTATCTATTATGAGGCCTGACACAATAACAGATTTTAAAGAATGATAAATTGTCCCAGAATTACTGTTACAAATAATAATATTGTTGATTCAAGATCATTTTTAAGTCATAGGTCACCCTTTCCAAGACTAATAAACTTTAATTTTGTCAAGAGCAGTAGACACTAACAGGAAGAGTGTCTAGTGTTCTAAAATTAAATACAACCAAAAACAGTGAACAGAAATAAAAACACACGTCTGAAACCTTAAATAAAGTGATCATGAAGCCTCTGCAAACAAGATTGATCTTCAAAAATTATGAATCATCAGAATGGATATCATCAAGCTCATTTTCATGCATCATACAATTAATTGATTAATTACTTATTGCGACAGGCTTGTGTATCATTTTTTTCTTTAATTTCACAATCCTGCACAAATACATAATGTGGAGTTATGTATTGGTTGTAGACTAGGCTGCATGAACACTGCATACATTCTGGCCACTGCAGCTTCTAACTCGCCTTGTCCATCATCATCTGTGCAGACGGCAAGACGTTGTCCAGCGCCTCGGTGCAGTTCAGCCAGGGGTGAGCCAGGACTCCCTCGATAGTCAGCCTCTCCTCTGGCTTCACCTTCAGTAGCCTACACACACAAACCGGAGAGAAGAGGTGAAAATGAGTGAAAAAGCAGACAAACGGGATGGGCAAATATAAACATGCTGAAAAAGTCAACATGAGGAAGAAGAGGTTGGACCTTTTCTGGGTTTTTTAATATAAAAAAAAGTCTTACTTGCGTACAATGTCCTTGGCCATCTCAGAGATCTGGCTCCACTCGTCTTCTGGGAAATCAAAGCTGCCCGTCATAATCTTCTTCCTCATGTCCTTTGGGATGGTGCGGCTGTGGTGCTTTGAGTAGAACGGAGGATAGCCGCACAGCATTATGTAGATGATCACACCCAGCGACCACAAGTCACAGCTCTGCAGAGACGGACAATAAGCTTTACTTTCTTTGTGCATTGGCAACAATAAATGTAAATAAAATAAAATCAGAGATCTCTGCACCTCTCCTCAATAAGAGAGGAAAAATGGAGCCACGCTGCACCTCACACCATCATCAATTTAATCCTTTTATTTCTCAGGATTAGATCACACAAGTCCGCATTTATATTATGCATTAAATTAGGTTTTTTTTTAATACCATCTATAACTAGTAGCATGTTTTATAAATACAATAATTTAAAGACAGAGTTTGATCCTGAATGTAAAGAAGGTTCACTCTGACAGAAGTCCTGCCTGGATAAAAACCTGATCAAGCAAAAGCAGCATCCAAAAATGACTGAGTTTTTACTGCAAATATTTCCAAGTTTATTTTCCCAACAAAACCTAAACACTGATTTGGATTTACACTGTTTGCTTTTACTCTAAACTCAGCCGAAATGAGTCTCACCTTGTTATATGTGTAAGGAGTTGGTGAGGTAGGTATAATTCCAGACTTTTCCTTCTGGTGTCTTCTTTGAGCCTCAAGTACCTGAACAGAGAATCAGTTATGCATCTATCAATTAATTAAACTTAAAAAAACAGAAGTTATTTTTTCCCCTTTTTGTACCTGAGGTGCTACGTAGTAAGGAGTAAACTGAGGGGTCGTCAAGTCTCCTTGATCGATTTTGGCAAAGCCAAAGTCACACAACTTCACAGGTGCGTCCTGCAGGGGAAAAAAAGAAAGAAAAGGTTCATATACAGTACGTCTGAAATGTTTAATATTAATAAATCAATCACAGACTGATTGCAGAAAGTGGACAGAAATAATAAAAATAAGTTCCTTGAACTTTGACAATTATGGATGACAGCTTTGAGTTTCTGAACTGGTGTGCTCCATAAAAATTTCACTATTTTTCCGTGTCGAGAGGGATGAAGGAATGGATGAAAGGATGGATGAAAGGATGGATGGAAAGATAAACGAATTGACTCAAATATGGATGGATAATAGTTTTACACAATGGAAAATTTAACATTATGGTAAAACAGCAGTGGCTGACAGGAGCAAATATCCAAAAAAACAGCAAAATGTGCTGTTTTTTGCACATTTTACATATGTCGACCACACCACATTCTTCCATCCATTCTTCTTTCCTTTTTTTTTTTTTACATAAACCAAATTCCTGAATTATTCCAAACTTTTCCATCCATCGTAGAAACCTTGATGTGAATGCAACTTACCAGAGAGTTATCTTTGAAGAGCAGGTTCTCTGGCTTTAGGTCACGATGTGCAATATTCAGGGAGTGACAATGAGCCAATGCTTGGCTGATCTACAGCAGGACGACACACACACACACACACACCCACGCACACACACACACACACACTCCACTTAGTGAGTTGAGCAATCGTGGTGTTGAATATCAGGACTCCACTCACCTGTTTGGTGACCTGACTGGCCATCTTTTCAGTAAAGTGCTTGTGCTGGCTGATTCTGTGGAAGAGCTCGCCACCCTCCATCATCTCCATAACAATCAGGAGTCTTGCTCTTTCACAAAAAGGGATTTATTTGGAAGATTATGGCAGGATAAAATAGAAATGTAAAAAATGTGTACAGGTAAAGAAAGAGGTGTCAAAAGTGTGCCATTTGCAGCCCTTGGAATGGTTTTGAGTGGCCTTTGGATGCAGTTTAGGAATGGTTTAAATCCAACAAATGGAGCTGATGTAGGCCAATTATTTTTGTATGAACTTTTCAACAACAAATTTACATCTTAAATAGAACATTTTAGGTACAAAACAAGTGTTTCTTTAAATAAGACATGTTTTTTTATTATTATTATTTTAATATCATAGGCACCACAAATCTCCGGTGACTTTTTACTCTAAAACAGACTTAGTCACACTCAGTAATTAAATCTAGACAAACACAGTTAAGAGTTTTGGAAGACAGTTCTCATTTTTGTTGCTGAGAATAAATTGAAATTGATTTCTTAGAAAAGAGATCAAGTTTCTTTTCCAAGAAAAAGAAGTTTCCTAACTTGTTGGAACCTTCCAAACTTAGTTTCCAACAAGTTAGAAAACTAAACACTGAGGTCCTTCCCCGACCTTTTTAATTCAAATAAATGTTCATTTGTTGCTTAGCAGGCAAAAAGACAATAATTCACTGTATAATTATTTATAAAATTAGCATTTTTTGACTGCATTTTTTATTTTTTTTAAATTATGTCCGCTCAGTGCTTTCGGCTTGGTGATTTTGGCCCACAGTGCAAAAAGTTTGGACAGCTCTGGGTTAAGCCATCATTACCTTGGACTGGACTCATGAGGGAACTGGACGGTGTTGGCGTACACCTCCAGAATTTGCACGATGTTCGGGTGGTTGGCACACATCATGTGAAGACGCACCTGCATGGAAGAGAAATAATCTTACATTGAGGAGATGTTAAAAGAGACAGAAATGGCTGTAAGTGTGTCACAGTCTTCATCTTTCTGCCAGCCAGCTTTCACACTTCATCAGCGGGAGTCTGTGAAATAAACTTCTGTTTTCAAGCTGCTTGATCAAAACAGTTTGCAGCTAAATGACATGATAGGGCTGTTAGACCCACTGTTCGCTGCAGGAAGACGATGTTGGGGACAAAGACGCTCTTCTAATCAGACCGAGGCTGAGAAAAGTGAGTGGCAGGGAAAAGAAAAACAGGAATTAATCGAGCCTGATAACAGGCGGAACAAAGCATACTGATTCAGCCACAGGCGACAAACAACAGGGATTAATCAGACCGACGACAGAGTTCCAACCTCATTTCTGGCCTTGGGGCGATCGATGAGGATTTTCAGGGCCAGGCGTTCCTGACTCGACTTCTTCACACACACCCTGGACAGAAGAGAGAACAGAAGAGTCAACAAACAGGTCAAACAACATAATCCACACACAAAAACACAAAATCTTTTAAAAAATTGAGTTTCACTGGCAGAATTTTTCATTTATAATATGGATAAAATGTGTTGTTGTCAGTGTAACTAGTACTTTTTACCAACATTAAAGCGTTATCGACTTAAAACAAACTCTTACATCCTGTTGAAATGTTAGTTTAATTTTATTTCAAGTGTACCAAGATATTTTCAGTAGAAATGAAAAAATACTCTTAGTCTTTTTTGTTTAATAACCACATGGTTTACGTACAGAATTAATACAGAAGTTTCTGTACCTTAGTTGACTTTACCATGTTGACTTTAAATCACTGATGTAAATAAGGATTCGACCCCTTACAGGGTCTTCTGTTTATTTTTTTGTCACCAAGATATTTCAAATCAAATTGTAACAAATAAAAATTATTGAAATATTCTTAAAAAAAAGGTAAACCTTGGTTGTAGAAATCAGTGTGAATGGTCTGTTTAAGGTTACATCACTGTATTTCAGTCATCTTTAACTCTTGACTTTCACTAGGCCACTTCAAAACTTGCTTGTTCTCTCAATTTCTTTGAGCTTTGCAGGGGTGGATTTGCTGAAGTGCTTTGGATAATTATCCTGCTGCATAACCAAAGTTCCCTTGAGATTAAGGAGCAAACCGATAGCCAGACAATCTCACTTGGGATTTTCTGGTAAAACCAGAATTCATATTTGCCTCAATTACAGAAATGAGCCAGAGCCTGATGAAAAAGAGTGAAGACCATCAACACTCCTACCACAATGTTTGACTGTTTTGTTTTGTTGCTGAGATTCAGCTAAGTTGCTTTTTGAGATCTCTATGCCTACTTCATGCTGCCAGGCAGATCCCATTTCTTGATTCTACAAGCAGGGAATAATCAGATATGAGTGTTTGTAGTGAAACTGAACTCTGCCCTCCAAACTGTAGGTAATCACGTTTAGGGTGGATGCATAACTGGGGGATAATCTTGTAATTCCTGTTGGACTCAAAACTGCTTTCTCCAGTCATGAAAACATTTTTTCTCCTTTATGTTTTGTAGTCTTTGTAAGTAAAAAAAAATAAATCAGTGAATAGATTCAGAATCGGATTCAGTCAAAAATGTAACAGGCAGATGAGACTAGAAGAAAACTGGAGATTAAAGTCAGCAATGAAAAGCCTCATTGGTGCATCTTCACATTTTTTTCCATTCAAAAACAACCTTTGTCTGTAAATATGTTTCTTAGCTTCACCTGGTTCAAATTCTTGAAAAAAATGTTCCAATAAGCACCTTTTTCTATCCAATTATTAATCTATTAGTAAAAAAATAGTCATTCCTACACTGTATTGATGATAACTCAGCAGAGAAGGCTGAACTTTTCACATGTTGATGTTAGAAGTATTTTTTTTTGTGTGTAAGGTTTATAGATTTATCAGATTTATCTCTGGCTGTTTTTCACAAATCTTGTGTTAAACGAAAACAGAGCCAAATCAGACCAGCCGGTCTGACCTTATCCGGTTCTAGTAAGACTGGATCTGCTAAACCGTTTTAACTACAACTCACTTTGACTAAAGAGGAAAATTTTCAGTTTTTACTCTTATTTGAGGGTCATTGTTTCCAAGAGCTTAAATGCTTTTTTGCAGTATATTTCTTTTATAAAGACTCAAAACATTTGGTACAAATTTAGACTTCATCTAACACAAGCAGAACAGAGAGAGAACTGAATCTCATCCAAATGATTACACAAACTTTGTGTTGGTTGGTAGCATGACATCAAACTAAAATACATAAAGGTTTGTGCGTTCAGAGGTATGAAAAGTGCGCAGTGCCTTGTTAACAAATTCACTTTAAACAGCTACCTTTGACCCTTGAACCCAGACTGCCCTATAAAAAAAATTACCCAAGGAGACATTCTGCTTTGCTTTGGCCGTTCCTCTGAAGGCAGAAGTGGCCCACCTAATGAGTCACAGAGTTAGAGTTAGGGCTGTTGAGATTCAGGGCAGCGGGGGATTAAAGCAAAGGAAGAGGCATCAATGAATATCAGAATAAAGAATTGAGTCAGAAAACACGAAACCGGAGGGCTGAGAGCGGCCCAAAAAAGAAACCATGCAGGCTGAATCATAGCAGGTTTTCAGTCAGACATGAAGAGGCGATTTGTCAGTTTTCTCATTACTTCATGCTAAAATGACACGCTTGTGAAATAACAGCTTGTCATCTTTTGATCTGAATCTGCAATCGCTTCAAAATGCAGAATGAACAGGAGTCAGAGCAAGATTTATGTCTTATATCCTCCACATCTACATGGAAGCAAACGAAAAGCTTAGAAACAGCACACATAAAAACAATGACTGCATCAGTCTTCATCCTTAAAACCCTTCTAAAAACACAGAGCAGTGATCACAGAAGACAATAAGTGCAGCTCACAGTGTGTGGGTTAACAAGAACAAACATGTTTATTTGCGCAGTACAAATTTCGACTACACTGTTACGTATTGAAGCAGGTAAAAGTTTAGCTTTGGATTCCAGCCCAGTAACCTTTAGGATGTGAGACTGTTGCACCAAACACAGCAGGTATAAGACAACACAGACATCGAGAAGGAAGACGACATACAGGACACAAACAAACCCTTGTTTCCTACATCCCTCCACTCTTCCTTGCCCGTTTTGTTTAATAATTTTCATTTTTCCAGCACAAGGAAAAATAAAATGCAAACATCTTCAATGTGTGGGAAGTAGTTTTTGGCAGCAGAGATTATATGTTCAGAAATCAACAGTTTTTTCCACAGTAACTCTAGAGTCTGTCGTGTAAAGCAACATGTAACTCTTAACTCTCACCACAACATGAGAGTTTTGATTATTCAGTTATTAAATGCAGCCGGTTCAAACCTATGATCAGCAGCAACAGAGATTAATTAATCTGACTCTATAGAGGTGATTTAATCCCCAGACACCTTCATACGCTCCTCATTAGATGGATCAAATGGCAGAGAAATGCTCACCTGACAGGTCCGCTGATTCCAGCTCCCAGCTTCTGTGTCCAGTTTATGATGTATTCATCCAAGATGGACGCCTCCTGTTTGAAAAGCAAGCCGGGTTTTCAATCGTAATCCATTATTCAGCAACAGTATTGCAATTACAAGCTGCAGTGGAAAAAATATCCTTTTAGCATTGTAAATAGATTTAATATCAGAGGTTTTCTGCCAGACTGATTAAAGCAATGAATAAATGTTTGTTGATGATTTCCAAGCTGATTACTATTAGTTTGTGTTTTTGAAATGCATACATGAACAATCAAAAATATAATTTGACAAACTCTACTGAGTTTGATAAACTCAGATAAAGGTGAGATACAAATCCGCTTTGTTGTTGGATGCAAAAGTACTATCTCTACCACATCTCCTTTTTTATGCTCAACAGTCGTTAGCTGTTATCGTTGATGAAAGAAATCAAGTTTGCACATATTAGCTTGTATATGTTTAGTCCTTAAAAACAAATGACTGAGTCTGAGCAAAAATCAAGACCAGCAAGACTAAATTGGGAATCTGTACCAGGTTGTAAAAGCCTGATCTGCTCATCTGTGAATTTTAATTTCTAGATTTATTTTAATACTAGATTTTTAAAATTCAGTTGGCAGATTTTATGTGATATAAATGACTGACAGTCCTGATAAGACCTCTGTTCATTTCTCCTCCGCTGCCCTACGTTGTGTCATAGTTAAATATACTTTATCATTCGTCCAGTGTTATCGTAAACACAAATTATTTCTAGATAATGACAACTTGGCTGCCAAAAACAAACGCATCAGAAAGATTAGCCTCTGATGCCAACACAGAGGATTAGGGTGGTGTTCTGAAGGAACGACTGAAATTGAGAGGATAATCTGGGTTTGGACTTAAATTCTGTGCAAATATATTTTTTTAAACAATCCCAAGAAATGACTAGTTGTTTCATCTTCCTGTGAATAAATTAATCTTAGCAACTGGAACTCATTTTTGTGTTTCCTAACTTTGGTAGTAATCCACTGTTTTAGATTTTCTCTATTTGTGGATATTGGCTCACTTGTTGGGGTTTACTTTAGTTTTTCCAGATTGATACATGTCACTGACTTTGCTTTACATCTGATTTTGAATTTCTATCAATCAGGACATGATAAAAGATATTTTTGCCTATATTTTGTTGTCAGAAAGTTCTATTTAAGATTCCTTGATCATACAGGTCTGGCTTGGTATGATAGATGAAATGAAGCCCAGCTTTCCAAAAGATTTAATTAATTCATCACTAAGCAGCATCTCACCACTTGAAAACAGTCTTCTATATCTACCCTGGTTATCTTGTCTGGTCTTATTAGTAATGTGTTAACCTTAGATTTCATATGTCAAAAAAGCAATAAAAGGATAAATGGTTATTCAGTGCCTGGCCAAATCAGTTAATCAAATCTTGTTTCTTCTCGACTTTGTACAGAGGAGAAACAAGCCACAAGACTGATGGGGCTTCTGCAGTCCTGTGAATAGATAAATGACCACCACAAAAACAAAAGTGAACCAGAAAATGATCTATTTTTCCTCTATTTCTCCTAAAATAGAGAAATAGACCATTCCTGCTGGATCAGATATCAGTGGTCCAACTAATGTTGCTCATGTACTAATCCTTTTTATTATTTTTAAAAGCAACACTGTCATGTATCTGCCATCAAATACTCTATCAATGCAGCATTATTATGTCATTTCAAAACCAATTGTTTATAATAAAAATATGCATAGAATAGTAGCAGATAAAACACCAGCTGGCACTAATCAGCACTTCCTTACCTTAATGAACTTTTCTGCATTGTTGTCCTCCGTCATGGTGCGCAGCTCCTGGAAGTCTACGAAAGTTGGAAATAAGTCGCTTTCTCTGAACCCTTCGTGAAGTTTCGGTCTCCCTGGGCAAAACCGGGGCTCGTTATATCACCACTAATGACAATATAAGCCCATCACAGCAAAATGTCACCCGGCTACCGATCAGCCGTAGCCGAGTGTGGTCCGCCGGGAGACCTGAAGCCCAGCACGTCAGATCAGGCCAGCTCGGCTCACAGCCTCGGGGTCCGACTCGCTCTTCCTCTTGTCCTGAACCCGCTGTGGTGACCATGTAGAGCGTCAAACTCCGAGCAAGGTCACCAGAAAAAGAAAGCCGAAGACGGGAGTCAAACGTGGACCGAAGCCGAGCAGCTTCGGTGGCGCAGTGAGCGATATTTTTAGCCCCCGAATACTGACTCGGTCACTGTTAGCTCTGAAGCTAACAACACAGCGGTCTGCTCGCCGATTTTACGGTTTGCCGGTTGATTATAATAAAGCAGACATGGGGATAGGTCTGAATAAAGAGAGATATTTGTAAAATGACTATGATACAGGAACACCTGGGGGGCTGATACGACACAGCGAGCACAGCGCGTTCCCAACGGCTTATGGCAAAGAGATAAGTTAGTTTTCTATCCCTGCTTTAAGACAGAAATGTTATAATTCTTCATCAGAACAGTACATGGACACTGGAAGATACTACGGCCTAATATGTTCGATGAAGCAGGTCAACCGGTTCTTTTTCCAGCGGAGGTCCAGACCATCTCTGGACTATTTGGTTAATTCCATAAACCGAGACGGCACTCAATAGCAGTCCACGCAGAACGCCTGATGAAAATTAATACCAACTGTATTGGTTGTTGTCTGAAATTGAAAAAACATATACCCTCAGTCTTTAAATCGACATAATTTTTGTATCACATCAATTTATTGTATTATTTGTATTTATTTATAGAATAACTTTACTGGTTGTTTTTTGGCATGTGCGAGGGTTCCTTAATAAAGACCCAAATTTTAGTGCGCATTCAAGTTTATTTTCAAGGGTTAATTAAAGTTTTTTTTCACACTCTGAAATCTAATCTAATTATTTATTGATGTGTTCAAACAGTCAATCACAAAGACAATTTTGTTTTAAATCCTAGACGAATTTGAGATGATCTAACTTGATATGAATTACTAACACATGTGAAGCCAGTACTACATTCACAGCCTTTTAGTTTCACTGAAGAAAAAGTTTAAAAAAAAAATGTTGAAATATCTGTTTGTGTTTGGTTAAAATTTGGCCAAAATATTTTTTCTCTTTAGTCAGTGAAGTTACTTGTACTGGGTGTATCCTGATATTTTTCTGAAGTAATTACTTAGTAATATTACCCAAGCATAAGTGAAAAGTAAGGTCCAGTAAAAGTATTCTTAATTTTTTTTTCTTCCCCAAAATATTACTCAAGTAAATGTAACTTGTCACTACCCTACTGAATTCAGTGTCTTTCATAATTATAAACATCATTGGATTTCATTAAATTTTTATGTTATAGACCAAAAGTTAGTTAATAACAATTAAGTGGAAGAAACAGTGGAAGAAACAGGGATAAAGAATTTCCTCACTTTTCTACAAATAGTAGGCCATCATCCAAAACAGACCTGTCCCATGGTGAAATATGGTGGTGGCAGCATTATACTGAGCGGATACACTTTTTAACAGGGAAAGAGGTACTTTAAGTTTTAAAGTGTTTACATGGACTTTATAGGAAACTCATAGCACAACTGAAGGTTATTTAACTAAAATAAGATTACATAAGAAGAACTTTTAATCCCACAGATGAAAATATTGTGCCAGTGCTTAAATGTCATTGCATAAATAAATAATAAAACACTTAAAACAAATTATTATAGTTTAACAGATTATTAAAGAATAAAATATTTGTTGAAAATGACTAGAGATTACAGTATTTCCTTTTTTATGCAGCTTCTATTATGTTCCCCATATATTCAAACTTTTAATGAAATCATCATTTCCCTTGTGCAATAAATGAATACTTTTATTTGTATGTTTTAAGTGTGTTTCTGTTTCTATATTTAATTATGCTCAGTTCTGATTAATGTGTAGTTTTTTATGTCTTGTGTAATGACAGTTTATGATCACATGATTGTACAAGCTATCAGTGAGCTTGTGTAACTTCATTTTGCTGTGCATTGCATCTTGTAGCACATTAAAGTAAATCTTGAGTTTTGTGCTTAATCTACATGCAGCATATATTTTTTTGACCTTTATCATATCATTCCTTTTTGTAATGTTTTAAACTTCTCTGTGATTTAACAGTAAGTTTAATTAGTTGTGCATTAATTGCATCTTGTAACATATGTAACCAGTGTTTTGATAATTACAATAACTGAAATACTATGAAAAGTTACCACTGTTATGTTCATGTCATTATACTCCAAAAAATACACTTCTATTGTATTTATTTGACTGCTCCTATTGCTATTTAAAGACCAATATTTAAACATGAATAATTTAGGATTGCTGTAGTTCATGATGAATAAGAGGAATCAGTTTATGGCTTCTACTAAGTGTATGCTGCATCTCTTTGTGTTTATTGTTGTCTGACCCAGAAAAGACAATTACAACTAATAAAAACACAACATTTAAGATTAGATTGTTAAATCAGACTAATACAAAACATTTTATTGCAAAAATGGCTTGATGAAAAGCATGTTTATGTCAAAAGGTTATTTCCAAATGACACTTTTGACCTGAAAAACAAGTCTCATTGCAACACATATTCTAATTCATTGAGCATTACGCCATAGAAATCTGTTCAGTTTTTTCTTGTTTTTGTCATGCATGTTTCATGCCATGAAAGGATTCTTAATATCAGAATAAAATAATCAGAGTAAGTACAATAGCAATTTTCAAAGGCTGAATTTAAGTAATGTATAAAAAAATAACACAAACAAAAAGAATATTTTCCTATGTGTAAAGTTGTAGGAGCTCACTGTTAGACCAGCAGTTAGCTGTAATAAAACTTTTTTTTTTCTTATCAAGTTCAGTTAAATTTTAGAAGCCACACCCAGTTTGGTTTGCAGCTGGACTTTTAGAATGGACAAAATCAGTTAAATGCAATCTGTCTGACACCATGAAGTAGGATACAAGATTTCAAAATGTCTAAAGAGCTAAAAAAAATCCAAAAAAAAGAGTTCTGTAAAAAAGAGATTACTGACATTAATCATTTGTTAACAAGCGATTTTTGAGGCTTTGGAACTGCAAACCACAGTGAACGCCACTATCCATAATCAATGAAAACATATAACACTGGTGAACATTCCTAGGAGTGGGCCATTTACCAAAATTAGTCAAAGAGTAATTCAAACAAGTTCACAAAAATCCCTGCAGAACATCATTGAAAGAACTGCAGACCTTCCTTTCTTCAGTTCAGTGTATTAAAAAGGTACAATTGAAAATGGCCATTATGGTAGAGTGATGGTCTACATATGTTTTGCTTCTTTAGGACCTGGATAACTTGCCAAAATTGATAGAACCACAAATTATGCTTTCTTTTGAAGAAATTCTTAAGGAGAATATCTGGCCATCATTTTGTGACCAAATGCACTTGGGCTATGTAGCAGGACAGTGATCCAGAGCAAACCTGCAAATGTTAAAAATAAAGACTTTAACTGGACTAGTCCAGTTAAAGTCTTAACTTAAATCTGATTGAAATGATGGGCTGTTCTACTTTGTCCCTGGGGATTTTATATTTCAGTTTGCACATAACTCCAGCTAATACAAATGGAAGAGAAATTAGATTCGGTTGTGTACTCTATACATTTACCAATTTCTGACTCAAGATACTGACACATTGAAAACGAGAGATCAAGGTCATTCTGAGCCAAACAGAGGAAGCTGAGTTATTCCTGCATCACTGAAAATCCATTTTTCTTAGTACAATTTGATGTTTGTCTTTAACTTTTATTGTTTTATTCTCTGTCGTTTGTGCAAAAAAAGAAGCAAAATTTGTTTCTTTCAAAAACCAGAAAGAATTTCAGTTTAATGGTATATGCATATTTGTTATGTAAAAAAATATATATGTCTACGGCAGTCATTATATGGGCGCTTTAGAGTCACTTCTTCATTGGTCAGGCTTCAAAATGTGTATTCTAAATGAGTGTTTCGGTATCTTAATGAGTATACTGAGTAATTGTCCTGCAGTGCTTATGTACCAACAGGAGACGCTGACAGCTCGTACATACTGTTTGTACATCTGTGTTTTGTGCGTTCGCCGGCTCACGTGGATGCAGCTACTGAGCCATTTAACACTCACGGACTTCCTGAAAGTAGCGCCCAGGTGTCTGTGTAATCTTTAAAATACCTTAGTATTTATACTTGTATATTGAAAATCTAAATAAAATATGATCATTTGTGTCTATCTAGCAAAAATGAATGGCGTGAAAGTGGATGAATATTGAGTTAAATATTGCGAGCCGTTGCACCTTCCTTATATCCCTCCGCTGGTTTTTGTCCCCTTTCAGACTGTTTTGGTCTTTTTGCTGTTAGCAACGGAAAGGACCCGAGCTAGCTTTGAACTCTAATTTGAGATAATCGATTTTTTTTGTTAGGATTTCATATCACATTGACAAGCGGTGTGACGCTCGTGTTATTGTGAAAGCTCAATTGCAGCGTGTTGTTTTTTTAAAATAGTTTTTTCCCCCTGAGTTTTAATAAGATTTGTAGAGATTGCTAATTGGGCTAGCAGCTGTAAACCCGCTAGCCTGCTAGTCGCACGTTAGCGAGTTGTCACACAACTGCACGCCGCCTCGTTGTCAAGAAGTTTCTGCTCTACAACCGATCGCTTTTAAAGACGCCGTCTTTTATGGGATCACCATGTCAATGAAGGCCGGTGGAAATCGAGGCAAGCCCGGCGGGGGCAACGTGGCTGGTGCGGCCGCCTCCGGTGCTGGAGGAAGCGGCGGGGGAAGACAGAATCTGGGCAGGTCTGTGAGTTCCTAAACTTAGCCAAGTAAAAAACGCAGTGAACAGATGTGTTGTGGTCCGCATTTTGTGTTGTAGACACAAATACGTCTGGGAGTGGTAGTTTGAAGAGATGACACTCCCGTTAAGTGGTCCAAAATTAGTACGCGTGTTATGCGGGCCGTGAGACGTTATGCAGCTTCGCTGGCGAGGCCTGTCCTCCTGCCTGCCTGCACGGTCCAGTAATGTTGCAACTTAAGGGCAACGTTTCACCCGGCGCTTGTTAAATAACACGCCTTTGTCATTTATTATTGAATCAAACAGCCGAAGGGATAAAAAAATATATATTAACCACGATTTTATATTCGTTTTTTTCTTTTTCTTTTTTTTTTCTTTCCTTTAGTAATGACGGTGTTCGAAGTTGCTAATATCAGTTTACTATGTGAGCCTGGTGCCGATGTGGTTGGAGTTAATTAGCCCGTGTTTGTAATTCCGCACACTTGCGGTGTTGTAGCGGCTGCCCGAGTCGAGGCCAGCTTCCCCAACCAGCTGCGTTTATCCCAATTCAGCTGACTCCTACGTTACCGCAACATCCCTGCAACGGGATTGACACATAAATGACATAAAGCGCGTACTGTGGAGGCAGGAGCGGGTGGTCATTATGCTGACCGGCTGTCAACCTTGACGTTGCTTTTCGTGGGAAATTAGTGTCCTTGACAAGCTTGACTTTTTGTCCACGTGTTGTCCTGTGACTAAGCTTACCCACAGCACATGGATATTGATATTTTTGTTTTTGTCGTTTTAATTTCCGTGGGCGTCTGTTTCCACCGGTCACTGTGGGCACTACCCAT